CAAATTGAGCCATAAACAGCCGACTGAAGACGTCAAAGTTGGTGAAGGATCGATCGGGGAGGCCACTAAACCAATCAAGCGCTGCCTTCTTGAGTGTGCCCATGAACAACTTGCAGCAGACTTCCATGCTTCCTCCACAGATCAACATTTGAGCCCGGAAGTCCGTCAAATGTTGACTGGGGTCCTGCGTTCCATCAAAGGGTTCGACCTGTGGTATCCGATGATCCCTAGGGATCATCTCGGCCTCTATGGCTTCCGAGAATGGTCGAAAGTCTCTAGGGACCTCCAGCATGATGTCCTCCTCCACAGTCCTGGTACTAGCTGCTATTCTGGCCTGCATCTCATCCGCTCGTCTCCTGATCTCCTCGTTTTCTCGTTGAATGACCTCCTCTCTCTCCCTGGATCGCGCATTCTCCTCCCTTAAGCCATTGATCATGGCCATCATCTCCTCCATGGTTGGTGGTTGCGAGTTGTTGTTGTTGTTGCCGCCTCTCGCCATGGTAAAGTGTAGGTTTTTTGTGTTTCTTGGGGCGTAGGAAGAGTTTCACCATAGCCCCACGGTGGGCGCCAAAATGTTCCAGCCAAAAGGTGGACTAGGGTTTTTTCCTAGATCGTGCCTCAGAGCCAGAGCATTCAAAAGTGTAATCTTCCTACTCAACTCTAGGGTTTTGGGTTTTATGGTATGTCGTTCGTGGGTCTCTTGGGCCCCGATGATGACGGGATTTTCCTAACCGTTATTATCTTGATGGCGCGGGAATAACGGGAGCAAGTTTAGTCGGTTTTTGACCGACTGGGACCTTACCGAGGGCCCAGTCGGGCTCTGACTGATCGGGTCCATACCGAGGACCCCCTCGGTTTTATGCCGAGTGGTCTTCTCAGCCCTCGTAAACGAGAGGGATCAAGTTCCCCAGGTCCAGTCGAGTCTTGACCGACTAGGCCTATGCTGAGAGCCCGGTGAGAATTAATGCCAAGTGGGTGCAGTCGTCCTATCGCCGACCAGGGAGGGAGGTCAGAATTCAGTCTGGACGGTACACTTGCCTTCCAGCCTCGAGCCTATAAGGCGAAGAGGCTTATGGACGGGTAACCTAGTTGGGTGTTTTCCTGAATAGGAGGTCAAGTCGGATTTTCTCCTGGACGGTACACTTGCCTCCCAGCCTGGAGCCTATAAGGCGAAGAGGCTTATGGACGGGTAACCTAGTTGGGTGTTTTCCCGAATAGGAGGTCAAGTCGAATTTTCTCCTGGACGGTACAGTATGGCTATCTGGCTTTTTTCTATATCGGTAGGCGGAGTGAGATATATTCTCACTTCCTTTTTTTTATTGTTTTGTTTTGGATTTATGTATGCAAGTGATTTTGAATTTGGAGGAATTTAATTGATGAACCAACTGTGATAGGATAGGATGTGATATCGAGATTCTAAGTATAGGGATTATTTATGTTTAATTTGAATTAAAAAATTTAGTTTATTTCATTTATAAACATTTTTGCAAAGTGTTTGAACTTATATCAACAATTTATTTGATTTTATTTTTTGAATTTTGAATTTAAATATGATATTTTTTATCCACAGTTTTGATTAATAAATGAGGTATGTTTCAGATATATTATTTTATATTATTGAATATGTGAATGTGGGATAGAGGATATCATATTTTCAATCTTTTATATTGATGCAAAGTTAAAGAAGGAAACAAGCAATTTAAAGTTGCAGGCGTATAACTCTCTACCTACATGACCATGCACATAACTTGAGTTGATTGTACATTAATTTTCAAATTTTAAAATGGTTTTTTTTTTCTTTCTGTGACAGCAATGAGTAAGTTATTGATGAAGTTGGCGATGAAGAGTAAGCATAAGAGAACAAGAGGAAGAGAAAGAGTAGCATACAAGTTATTATAGGTAAAACAAGTGAATTGTTACCACAAAATTTAATAGTTAGATCTTCAGTTGTCGACATAAATTGAAGAAGTGAGACTCCCTAATTAAGAATCACAAAATAAAATTATATTATTAGTATTTCTTTTGATAAAGACTCCCTAAAACTATTATCGAAAAAACAAAACTATAGACAAATTTAGTCTTTTATAGATAAATTTAATAAATTAACCATTCACACTCACAGACATATACTAACACACAATAATTTACGCAAGGAGTAATATATATACTACAAAAAAATTCATTTTAATTCTGTCCAATTCAAAGTTTTTGACGATTTTATAACCGCCACAAAAATACTATTATTTTTACTTGTTTACATTTGATGGCGGTTTTAGATTGCCAAAAAATATATTTTTTATTTTTAAATCGTCAAAAATACACTTTATTTTACAATAATTTTTTATTTTTAAAATATATTTGAAATTATTTTAAAAGCGCATTTTAATTATAAATTGGCAAATAATATTCTATATATTTTAGGCATTTATCAAATTATTATTGAAAATTAACACTAACCATATTAATCATTAAAAATTAATTACTATTATATTTTTATTTAATTCAAGTAACTTATATATAAATAAAAATTTTACTTGTCGAATTCTATGATCACTTATTTTAGTAAATTTTAATATTTATGTGTTTTGTATGTTTCTTGATCAAATATAATTACATAAGGATACATTAAATTAACAACTTTTAACATTATTAAAAAAATCAAGATAACATCTAGCCATAGGTCTAGCATGACATATTTTTTATTATTAAGACATTAACATCCATCAATTCTAAAACATATCCAACATATTAAGTAACTCAAAATCAAATTCTTTTCAACCAAATATTAACTATAAAAAATTGATTATTCTTTTCAACCAAATATGCATACAGATAGGTCTAACATGAATAGAAATGCAATCTTTGTCCCAGCATGCAGGCAAATAATGTGCCCTGGGATAACTTGAGGTATCAATGAGAATAAAATCTAAAGCTGGAGGAAAAAGAAGTAATTTAAAATATGAGAAGTACAATTCTACAAGGATCAGATTTAAATTCCTAATAATTAAGGGGTTAGTTAGTTAGATTAATCCCAAAATCATCATGTTATTAGCTGAAAGATCAACCAGGCTATTTTAATTGTACTTTCATTTACTAATTAAGGCATAATGTTGGTCACATAGTTGATAATGAAAGACCATTGTTCTGAGAAATACTCATCATCTAGCAGTGCCAACAATAACTCTAGCCTAGCACTGGTTGAGCAACTATTTAATTGCAAACACCAAGGAACAAATATATTCTTGAATATTTGCATAAAGTCTTCAGTTTCCCCTACTTTATCCCCATCATATGAAAGCTGACTAGAAACGTGACTTTTGCTCTTAATAAAGACTTCTTCAACAATCATTCGTGGTCCAAATATTGAAACAGCAACTGAAAGAAGTCTCACAGAGTATCTGGTGAATCCTGATATTTAAGAAACAAGGTGAGTCTGGAAAAATATGGTAGAAAATATCATTTCCTTTTAAAGTAATCATTTGAAATTAATATGGTTTAACAATACCAAAATCCTATGAAATTTTAGATATTCTATTTTTCAACAGGATAATCAAGAACAGTGGTGACATCATAACTGATTCCCATATATTGCTGTTTCACTTATTTATATTTTAATTGTTCATAGAATCAATCTTTTTGATGACCCAAAAAATGTAATCTATTTTGTTTACCACTTGTGTCTAGATTTTAAAAATAACTTCTGTTCAAAAGACCTAAAAAAAAATCTACAAAGTAACAATAGAGCGCATCAAACCCAGATTCATTTAACCTTTATAAAGAGATCAATTCTATGCATAGATAAAATATAAACAAGCATACCAGAAAACTATTACAAAGTGAGAAAAAGTAGGAATAGAAACTCTGTTCTAAAGAACTGTACCTAAGTTTTGCCCTAAACATTTATCCCCAGAGAGAGAAAGTATCAAACAGTTGGCAACCAATTCAATTATTTATCACGTAATTTTGCCCATATAAACAACTTGATATTCATGGAACATTACAATCTTTATGGAAATGAGTGGTTAACAAACCAAACAGAACCCCAAAGTACTGCATAAAGATTACAATTTCAATTTCTTTTAAGAATAAAAAGACACTATGCAGGGCAAAAGAACAAGATTACATGAAACAAAATGAGTACAGAAAAGAGTACAAAGAGAAAACCTGAATTTATAAAATCAATTCATCACTCCCCACCCCCAACCGATCAAGTAATCAATAAGAAATTTCCATTCATGAACAGAAATGCATAATTATAATTCTTATATTAAGATTTATTTTCATAGAAGCCTACAACAGAAATGTATAATTATGATTCTTATATTAATGCATTTGTGTTTTGCAGGCTAATCTAAAATTTTATGCACCATTTCCTTTTAATCCTAAGTACTTCAATTTCACAATAACTCTAAACTATATTGAAGGTGATAGCTCAACTTTTTATATAATATTTGGCTCAACACAACAATTTCTGTAAGATTTTTTATCCTGTCATGAACTTTGATAAAAAAATTTAAACAAAAAATAGAAATAGAAAAATATCAATGCAAGTCGATAAAAGAACATGCCATATTTGATGAGAGCCTGGCTTGGTGCGTTTAGATGTTGTTATTGCTCTCATATGAGGACGAGCAGAGTCGCAATCAGTAATTGGTGTTATAGGGGAAGACTGCAATAGCTGATCAAGGTAAGGCATATCATCAGTTCCAAAAAATTTCCATGGTTGCCCCTTCATCTTAGATTCAATGTCTCCTACAAGTAGAGCTGCTGCACCTATTTCTAAGAAACTGTGTGCTGTCATGTCTTGATTCTTGATAGCACGATCACTGCATTAAATCATGTTAAATAACAAAGTCAAAATTTTGAAGCACAATAAGATGGAAGAAAACTAACAGGTAAAGTAGAGATATAAACTTTCATGTAAATTATCGCAGCATATTTAAGCATAGGCTGGAAGTGAAGTATAACTAAAGTGTTGTGGAAAAGTACAAAACGTACTTTCATATTGCTAAATCTCATCGTGCCATTTTGTAAAAGTTAAAAGTTTCACAACGAAGTTGGGGTTGTCATATTTTTCAGCATGTGAATGTGTTTAGAATGCATATGGGGCTGCATTGGAAAAACATTCACTCAACTTCAATATGAAAAACAAAGCTGTTGAAGAAAGCAAAGAAGTGAATACTATGCTGACATTGTGAAGTTTAAAATAAACAAATAAATCCACATAAATATTTGAATATAATCTAATCATGAAAAAATTAACAGAGTCGGCATAAAAAGTAAATAAAGTAATTCAACCAGCAAAGGAATCCAATATTATAATGACTAATGAGTAATGACAAAATTAACAAAATCAATATGAAAAATCCATCAAGTAATTCAACCTGCAAGAGAATCCAAACATGCAGCTGTTACATGGCACCCTTCCAAATTTAACAAAGCTAGCTTTTGTAATCCTGAAATCAGCTGAAAAATTATTGAAAATGGAGGAAATGAACTATTCTGTCGATCTGAAATGAAACTCAATTTTCTTCATTCTGTTGATCTTAGACACTTATACATTGAAGATGATCATATATTTAACAATGCTCTAAAACATCATATCATAATAAAATCCATAACTAGATTCACACACACATATATAATCAGAGATAGAGAGAAACTCACATAAAAATAAGAGATATCCAATCATTTGAATTCCTTACACGTTTGTTTATGGACTACTTCAAACATTTATGACCTTCGTTGTCATGGGAGTATCCTAAAATGAACATGTAAAAATCAATATCAACCAAACTCAACAAACAAGTTATAATCAAATCTTTTAACTTAATCAGAACCATCTATACCATATAAAATTGTCCAATATATCCATAAAATACACAAGCTGAATCAAGTGCTTGGCACCACCAGCACTTATGATGGCCTTGGAGTGATCCACGTGGAGGTAATTCTCCGTGCACGTTCTGGCCCAATCATCCGACTTCGTCGTGTTGAACGTTCTGGCCAAATTCCCAATCGTCTTTATGCAAAGAATCCGCTTTCTTGATCCACAATAGCCTTGCAAGCGGGTGAGTTTGGCTTGAACGTCGATTTCCTCAACTCCGTGTCTTTCTCCGCCACTGCGGTAATCTCCATCACCGCCATCGCCAAATTGTAATGCACCGCCTCCGTTCCCTTCCAAATCTACCTTCTCGAACATTCAAGAAATTTTAGGGTTCCAACTTTTTTTGAAGTTATGCCTTTTCCACCACAATTGTAGCCGTAGAAGTCACATTTCTCTGCAATTTTCCATAATCGCGAGGAAACTATAATTGAACGCTGAGTAGAGAGAAGAATTACATTACCTCTTGGACTTTGAAATAATTGTTTGTCGGGGAAGACAAAAGAGAATGAGAGCTTGGCATTTCTTCGTCTAACATCAGGAGCAACTTTTTTGACTTGAAAAACCAGAGAATGAATGAGTGAACCCTAAAAAGTGGAGAGAAAAAGAGTAGTAAAATAGTATTTTTGATTAAAAATATTAAAAATGAAAAATGGGAAATGCTCAAATTAAATTATTTAAGAATAATTTTTTGACTTTTGAATTTTTTTTTTAAAATAATATCAAAAAAAATGGTTGTCACGTGTGACGTAGGATGGGAAAACACGTATTTAAAGATTGTGGCGGTTTTAAACAGCTGAAAATGTGACAGTTAAAATAACTGCATATAATATTTTGTGGCAGTTTTTGGAAACGGCCAGAAAAAAACCGCAACTAATTACATAATATTTTGCAGTATTATTATATAAAAAATGTTATTAGAGAAATACTACAACTAATTAACCCATTCGAATATTATTACAAATTTTACTTTTTATATCTGTTGGAATAATATTTTTGCATCATTCCAAAGTCTTGTACAAACAGGTGATACAAAAAAAATAGTGATTTTTTTAACGTATAGTTAAACTAATGTAAAAATAATAATAATAAATGTTTTCTACATTTATCATGAATATATAATACAAGAACCTATTTTAAGTTATTAATGCTTTTTTTTAATAGAGTCTACGATGTCATGTAAGGTACTTAAGAATATTCTTTATTTTTTCTCAAATAAAATAGTCTAATTTAAATTCTTAATTTACTTTTTATGTTACAATAAATTCATATTCTTCTTTTTTTACTATAAGAAACTAGTTCTTGCAGACTCTTAAATAAAAAGGAGTTTGATAGACAAGTCATTTTAAACCGTACTAAAAGAAGGACAAATTCTTACTCTAAAAACTCGTAAGAACTTTTCATTAGAGATTAATAAGTTGAGGGAAACAATTTCAAAATACCAATAACCATTAAATGGTGAAAAAATTTCAGCAAGTTTGAACGAAAACAAAGATTCTTAATACAATTTTTTTTGTTTAAAGCTGATTTTTATAAAGCCTACGATTCTGTAAATTGGATTTTTTTGGATTACATGTTAGATAAGTTAGGGTTTGGATTATTGTGGAGAAAATGGGTGAAGGTACTAGTTCAAACTAGTTCACTTTCTGTGTTGGTCAATGGGTCTTCAACAGAAGAATTTTATGCGGAGAAAGGTCTAAAACAAGGGGACCCTCTTGCACCTTTTTTATACCATTCAGGGAGGAGGGCTTGACGAGATTGACGAGGAAAGCTGAGGAGCGAAATTTGTTTAAGGGTGTCACTATTGCTGAGAACATTAATTTTTCATTATTGCAATATGAAGATGATGTTGTGGTGGTTGGTGATATTTCTTTCCAGAATTTATGGACCTTATAAAGGCAATTTTTAGGGGGTTCAAACTAGTTTCTGCCTTGAGGGTGAATTTTGATAAAAAGTCTTTTGTGTGGGATTAATATGGATCCTAATTATATGCAAGCAACTCAAATCTTCTTACATTGTAAAACTGCTCCTTTTCCTTTTAAGTTCTTGGACATTCTGGTTAGGATTAACCCAAGGAAAAAAAACTTGGGAAAGTATTATTAGAAGGTGCATGTAAAGAGAGGTTAGTCGAGTGGAAAGCTAGAAAGTTGTGTACTGCTAGAAAAGCAGTGATGATTAAATCTGGTCTTAATAGCATACTAGTTATATGTTTTCCTTCTATAAGGTTCCTCATAAAGTTATGAAGGAGTTGAATAAGATTTAGAGGAATTTTCTATGGCATGGGGGATTGGAATCTAACAAAATTAGTTGCATTAAATGGAGCAAGGTATGTCAGCCTAGATCTAGGGATGGTTTGGGGATTAAATGTTTAACTAATTTTAATGTTATTCTTTTTTTGAAAATGGTATTTTTTGGTAGATAAACATGCTCTGTGGTATAATCTGCTGGAATATAGATATGGCAACTTGTAGTGTCAGCCTACATCAGTTTCAGCATCCTCTTCTCTTTGGTGGCGAGATATGATTTTGTTGGACATAATTGGGGAAGGTTTCTTCTATCAGCACTTAAAGGTTGTGGTGGGGCCTAGAAAAAATATCTCCTTTTGGTCCCATCCTTGGGCGGGTACCAATTCCTTTGAAAAAGTTATTCCTTAGATTATTCTCTATTACTACAAATAAAAATTCAAGTATTGAACAAATGTGTTTTTTTTTTCCTGAAACTAGGGGGAGATGGGTGTGGAAATGGCATAGACCTCTCTTTCAATGGGAGGAGGATTTGCTACAAAATATGTTTATGATTATCTCTTATTTCTATCCAAATGTGGGGGAAGAAGATGCCTGGAGATGGGGTCCTGAAGTTTCTGTACTGTATCTGACGCCTACAATTCACTTATTTATTTGGATCAACCCATTCTGGATGAGGTGATAGATATTTTGAGCAAGCTTTAGTCTTCCTTTGTACCTCCTAGGATTATTTTCCTATCATGGCGCATGCTTCAAAATAGAATCCTCACGATAGATCAATTGATTGTTAGAGGAATGGCCTTTTCTGATTGTAGACACCCAATTTCGTCCGGGGGCACAAAAACAAGGAAATAGACCTCCGTTATGAAGGGAAGGAGCTTCCGAAGCAGGCAAACAACAAGAAAGGACATCAGAAGGCCTAAAGGCCAAATAAGGTGGTTTAAGTAGCCCGGAACGGGCTGTTCCAAAATCGGAACGGGCCGTTCCGAACCCCGAAACGGGACGTTCCAATCCAACGTGATTAAAATACCTAAAGAGGCTTGTCTGGAACGGGCCGTTCCAATTCCAGAACGGGCCGTTCCAAACTAGCCAATTTTGGAACGGGCCGTTCCGGAATGGGCAACCCTGTGTTAATTTTTACTCTGGAACGAGCCGTTCCGTTTTCAGAACGGGCCGTTCCAGGGTGTGAAATTTGCACATAATGAGTGGCCCAGAACAGGCCGTTTCGAATCCGGAACGGGCCGTTCTAGCCCCCTTCTAATTCCTATAAATTGAAGCCTCAGGCACAAAGCAATCTTTGTATTCATACAAAACTCGAATTATTTCCTCCTTTAACTCCCCTTGCAAGAACTTGCTGATATAAGTTATTTTCCTATTTTCGACAGTTCCCAAATTAATTTCTTCAAGTGGGTCTTGGGATTCTAACTTATGTTCTTCATTGGCGGCCCTTTCGAATCCCAGGGGCGAATCATCGAAAATACAGTCTAACTTGGGTTCTAGTTCTTGCTCTTTGCATTCTTTTATCTTTTCGACCTCTGGGTCTGTTTTTTCTTTTTGATTTTCTTGTTTGTCTGAGACCCCTTGGTCTCTTTGATTTTCTGTTTTTTGTTTTTCTTCATTTTTTCCAACCTCGAAGTCTACGTTTGTTTTTTGTTTTTCTTCATTTTTTTCAACTCCGAAGTCCACATTTGTTTTTTGTTTTTCTTCGGCCACAATGGCCGTACTATTCTTGCCATTTTCGATATACTGATCTTCGGCCATGTTGGCCGTTCGATCGACCACATAGGCCGATATTCGAGCTAAGAAGCTCGAGTAAGGATCTTCATCCTTCATTCTTCAAGTGGAGCCGAATCTTTTTCGGCTCGAATCACAAACCCCTTTTTCACGTCCCAGCAGAAAGTTTTCTTGACTCCTCCTTTAGCATTATCAAAAACAAATCAAGCCAATATGCATAGATTCAATCTCAGCAAAATTCAAGTCAGAATTGCTCAATTCAAAATAGCTCAATTCAAACCAATCACCAAAAACACAATTAACTCCTATACCCAAAACAGAGTATTATGAGCATCAAAACAGAACATTCACACATATGCTCAAAAATAGAGTATCAATGCACCAGCTATCCAAATCACAATTTGGAATCACAATCAGACCATCATATCAGCAAAACAAACCTCAAATTTCACCAGAATTTAATTGTTCAACACCATAAAGCAAATAAATTGTTCCAAACTTAAACTATTACAACCAAATTGAAAATCATTGTTCCAAAACAGAATTGAAAATCCTAATTAAAACTAGTTATCAAACATCAAAATAGAAATCAATCTTCATCCTCCGGTATGCCAAGATGAGTCTTGAGCAGCCTCACTTCATGATCAAGATCATCAAACCTGTCAAGAATACCAGAAAACAAAGATTCATGTCTCCTTGACATTTCCATTACCGCATCCAGCTTGTTTATCATTATTT